AGAGACATCTCTGGCTGGTCTAATTTTAAAGACTTAAGGACGTCTTTTTCAGACGTCCAAGAGACGTTTAAATTTTACCAAGACATTCTTTTAAAAAATATATAAAAATGCAATGATTTACAACACAAACTTTAGATTTGCCTTAATCTAGGCAAGGGAAGTTATAAAAAGAAATCAATGTAAATAAAGTGTAATTTGATATATTTAAAATAAATTTATAACTTTACAAAAAATAAGAACAATTTTTCAAACAAAGTTACATTTTCAAATTAAAAACTAATAGGTACAGTAGAATATAATCGATAGTGCATTATAAATAGAAGAAAATTGCTTAAAAATGGAAAAAAAATAAATAAAATACAACAGTTAAGCCATCATTGATCGAAATCCATATTAGTGGATGTTCTCTTTATTCGGTCAGAAGAATGCCTAATTACTTTTCCAATAAGTTGGATGATATCCATTTTGATTAAGTTTTTATTTGACTTTAAAACAGCTTCTAATAAAAACAACAAAACATGTTTCAAAAAGATCATTAAAAAAAATTGTCATGTATACATACACTTGAATACATGTCATGTTCCATAGCCAAAGAAATTAAATTTTTTAGCTTACTAATGTCTTTGATTAATTAAAAATTAAAAAACATCATTTTAATTTTTAATTAATCAAACACATTATTAAGCTAATAAGAATACCAGTGACAGCGTAACATAGACTTGTCAACTCTTTAAACTTTTTTTTCTTCTTTAGACAATTCATGCTGTATTCTGACAAAATAGTGTCTGTTGGCAGTCTACATAATAAAAAAGAAGATAAATGCTGTACTGTCAATCATAAATGTTAAAATTCAAACTTTTGCTAATTACTTACAAGAGCAAAATATTTTTAATTGTATCAGCTAGATTTTTACCCCCAATTAATGATAACTGTTTTAACTAAAAAGAAACAATGTATTAGAAACATTGAAAATGTTTATAACAATTTAAAATAAATATTGTAATAATATGTAACATATAAAATATAAAGTTGAAACTCATGTATACAAAAGTAATGTATTGGATATCTCCATTTGCGAAACTTTTTTTCAAAACATTAAATTTATCTGAACTTTTACGTTGTTTAAAACCTTCTGGATTATTAGAGAACAGTGCAGTTCTATCTACTAAAATTTTTTTTATTTCAGCAAGTTGGAATATAATTTTTTTCTAAAACTCTGAAAAGTAAAATATATAAGTGAAGCCATATAAATAGTATATAAAATAGTAAATAGTACTTCCTATATATGGTTGAAAAGAGGTAGATTTAAACTGAATAAAGCAAAAAATCTCAAGTTTCATGCTTAACCTTAAAAAAATATAGAAACAAGTAAAGTTCAAGAAAATTATAGGATTTTTGTCTAATGCCAAAAACTGTAAATAATTGCTTCCTATACACAAACGCACACTCACACACACACACACACACTCATATATATATTAATATATATATATATATATATATATATATATATATATATATATATATATATATATATATATATATATATATATATATATATATATATATATATACAGGCCTTGTTTTAAAGCGTTACGCCTAGAGCGATTTACGTACGCCTTAAGCGCTTTTTACGTACGCGTAGAGCTGTTTTGGTTAAGCTACTTTTTATCATTTTTTAACTTTTAAATTAACGGTAACATAAAAGAAGTAATTAATTTTCAAAAAAACCACATTACCTTTTAAATAACGATATATAAAGGTATTTATTAAAAAAAAGAATTTACTTTAAAATTAATTGTTGTAACTTTTCATCGCGATATATCTTTCCTTCTTATAGCAATTAATTTGACGCTAAACTTTTTATCCAAATATTTAGCAACATGAAAAATTGTTTGTCAATCCTTAACTACAAATTTTTTGGAACGTTTTTAATAAAAAGTAGTAAAGTTTTTAGTAAAAAACTTTTAAAAAATCTATATTCTATATTTATTAATACAGAATATAAAAGTTTTTTGTAATATAGATTTTTTATGAATTTTTTACTGAATAAAATATAATAAAAAACATTTGCAAAAAAATTTGTAATTAAGAATTGACATTTTTTTAAATAAAATCTCAAAAAATGTCTTAATATTTTTGTTATCATGATAACAAAAATATCAAGACATTTTTTCGAGATGTTAAAAAAAATGTCTTTGCTTTTCTTATTAGTTTAATAGTATATAGCTTATAGTTAGTTTAATAGTATATAGCTTTTCTTATTAGTTTATTAGTATATAGTTTAAGTTATGCGGGGGTCGGGGGTCGGCACAGAAAAAAAAATTACCTGTTACTCGCAATATTTGAATGAAGACAATTTGTTAAAATTCTTCTGCATGCGATTCAATAAGTTTTTTTTGTCATAAATCAAGTTATAATATAAGGTAAAGAAATCATGAGTAGACTACAACATCCGCTGATGACACTAATATTACGTTGAATATATTTATATAACGGAGGTTTTATTATGCACGCGCACATTACAGGTTCCGTTAAATAAATACTAAGGCACGTTTTAGTTTAATGACAGTCTCCATTTTTTACTAATGAATATGTATTTTTCTTTATAAAACAAAACAAACTAGTATATAAAAACCTTGTATATTTCTATTATCTCTAAATTATTTAAAGTTCGAATATGGATTGTATTTTGAAGGACAAAAGATTTACTTTAAAAACTTTTAAATCTTGGGACTTTGCCGATGCGATGATCACAGAAAAAGAGAAGACTTACGTTATTAAAATCAAATGTAAGTTATGTGATCTTCATCAAAATAAAATATTATCCAAAAACAATAGTGCCGTAAAGGCAACTGCCTAACGGTTTATAAATAATACAAGTCATGTTAAAATATTTTAACATGTTACTATATTTTAATTAAGTTGATATATAATTAAAAATAAAAATATAATTCAATAAATAAATTAAATTTATTCTTAACAAAGATTACCTCATATTTATTCTTTTTTTTATTTTATTAAGTTAAATTGCTTACAAACGAAAAAAAAAAAGAGTTTTGTAATTATACGTAGAATGAAAATACTTTTGAGTTTGTTTATAAGTTAAGGAACTTAATTTTTAATAAACAAATTTTTTCGAACGTTTATTATAAACAGATACGATTCAAATTATTAAATATACTTAAATTATTTCAGTTGAGTATTTTTATAAGTTTGCACGATTAAAGTTTGGCGTACAAGTATTTGTTTTTTTTGTTTTAAGAATAATTAATAAAAGAGTTTGCATAATTAAGACTTTTATATTTAATTTAATTTTTTTTTTAATTTCCTAAAATTAAAAAAAAAAAAAAGATTTAATCGTTGAAAACGATTTTTCTCTATAGCTCTGTTTCTTTGTGATTTGTTTAAAAAGTTAAATATTTTTACAATAACATAAAAAGTTTATGAATTAAATTCCTAGCGAACGCGTTCTAAACTACGTATCAAAAATACGCTTCAAAGCAGACAAAACTTTTTTATATTTTTATAAAACGCAAGTTGAAACGCTTTTAAAAATTTTAAAAATATTTAAAAACTTAAATTTTTCTTTGCTAGTCAAAACAAAATCGTTGTTTAAATAATTAACATGGGTTTGTGTTTATCAATGTTAATATTTTTTGTTTACTCTAGAAATTTTTAAAAATAAAAAAAATCATTATTATTTTTTATTCAATAACGATTAAAAACAATTATTCAAAAACAAATTTCAGAAATAATTAATATATATATATATTTTTTTTACTAAATAATATTGAACTAAAATTAATAATAAAATAACAATTGAAAACATTACAAAATTTTCATAATAAATTTATATTTAAAACGTTTATAGTTTATATTTGAGTTAATTGTTAAATTGAATTAGTTTGCGGTTATTTATTAATTGCGGTAGTTAAAACACTTAACGCCTATAAAAAAAAATAAAGATAATTTTATGACGTCAAAATCGCCTTAAGCTAATGCGTTAAGCACTTTTTTATTTAAAACAAGGCCTGTATATATATATATATTAGGGTGTCCCAAAAAACAACATTTTTAAAAATAATCTGCTCTCACCCCCTAAATGTGTTCTATCTAATGCAAAAACACTAGGTTTAATTTTTTTTTTAATAAAAAATCTTTTAAGGGGTCCCTCAAGACCCTCGAATGTTTAATGGGTCCCTAATATTTTCGAAAAAAAAGATTTTCAAAAATATGTCAACCTGGTACTCAAATGAAGCGAAATTATATGAAAATTTTAAAAATAATATTCATTTCGAAACAAAATTGTTATTTTTGGCTTTATTACATAAAAAATTGTGTTTTTTAAGAAAAAATGAAAAAAATGCATTTCTAATGTTTTTTTATGATAATTTTGATAAGTTTAAAATATATCGAAATGAATATTATTTTTGAAATATTTATATAATTTCGCTTCATTTGAGTACCAGGTTAACATATTTTTGAAAAACTTTTTTTCGAAAATATTGGGGACCCATTAAATATTTGAGGGTTTTGAGGGACCCCTTAAAAAATTTTTTATTCAAAAAAAATTTAAACCTAGTGTTTTTGCATTAGATAGAACACATTTAGGGGGTGAGAGCAGATTATTTTCAAAATGTTGTTTTTTGGGACACCCTAATATATATATATATATATATATATATATATATATATATATATATATATATATATATATATATATATATATATATATATTGTATATATATATATATATATATATATATATATATATATATATATATTAAAATATATAATATATATATATATATATATATATATATATATATATATATATATATATATATATATATATATATATATATATATATTGTATATATATATATATATATATATATATATATATATATATATTATAAATATATAATATATATATATATATATATATATATTTATATATATATATATATATATATATATATATATATATATATTATATATATATATATATATATATATATATATATATATTTATATATATATATATATATATATATATATATATATATATATATATATATATATATATAATATATATATATATATATATAATAATAATAATAATTTAAATGCAGAAATACATCTTTGTAAAGGAACTTAAAGTTTTATGCTTTTTTTGCCAATAATCAGTCATATTATTAAAAAATATAAAAGCATTATAAAAAATACAAATTTAGCGTTGCAACAGCATCTAACATCAAATATCCGATACTCAGTGGAATCAAAGCAATAGTAAAATTATTTTTTTTTCCCTTTTAGAGATGTATTTCGAATAGTATACAACATTTATCAATACACACACATGCACAAACTTACACACACACGCACACACACACACATATATATATATCCATTTATATATATATATATATATATATATATATATATATATATATATATATATATATATATATATATATATAAAATATATATATATATATATATATATATATATATATATATATATATATATATATATATATATATATACATATGTATATATATATTTTGAATGTAGACATCATGTATGAGAGTATGTAAATTATTATTTTATAAACATCAATAAATACGATTTTATCTCAATACTAAATTTATTTTTGATTTTTTATTTTTTAAAAGAAATTTTCGCTGGATTGTTGTGACCAGCGTCTTCAGCTTAAAAGATTTTGTTTGTTTTTGTTTATATGTTATTTTGAAATATATAAAACTAAAGTTTTCGGGCTTAGCAGGTTTTGAGCTCTTTTGGAATCAAATCTTTTGTACCAAGTTTCAGAATTGCAGCATTACTAAAAGCACCATATAAGGGTAATAATAAACAGAAACATTTTTAGCACTTTCAAGAAATAAATCAAGAAATAAATCCAAACTACAAAGGAACAGCCATCCAGGAGTTTACCTTTTTAAGTGCCATTGTAACAAAAAGTATACTGGTGAAACAAAAATGCAAATAAAAACACGCATGCAACAACACAAAAACAGTACAATAGGAAATAAAACAGAAAGATCAGCATTACCCACACACATGAAACATTGTGCGCAACAAATTAACTGGGACAGTTGCAGAACTCTAAAAGTCAATAACAAAAAGTTTGATAAAAAAGTTTGATAGGAACGTTCGTGAGGCGCTTGAAATACAGTACCACCAATGTGCCCCTCAACAAAGTGGTGATTAGATGAGGGACAAAGTGGTGATTAGATGAGGGACAATATGTGTCAACAAAATTCTGGACACCATTTCTAATGCACTTACGTCAGAAAAAGACGAAACCATTCCATTGACATATAATAAAATTGCTGTTTAAAAATAACATATAAACAAAAACAAACAAAATCTTTTAAGCTGATTACGCTGGTTTATAAAATAATAATAATAATAATATATATATATATATATATATATATATATATATATATATATATATATATATATATATATATATGTGTGTGTGTGTGTGTGTGTGTGTGTGTGTGTGTGTGTGTGTGTGTGTGTGTGTGTGTGTGTGTGTGTGTGTGTGTGTGTATTGATAAATGTAAATATAAAGTGTAAATATATAGATAAATGTAAATATAAAGATAAATATATATATATACATATATATATATATATATATATATATATATATATATATATATATATATATATATATATATATATATATATATATATATATATATATATATTATATATATATATATATATATATATATATATATATATATATTATATATATATATATATATATATATATATATATACATATATATATATATATATATATATATATATATATATATATATATATATATATATATATATATATATATATATATATATATATATATATATATACAAATGGATATATATGTGTGTGTGTGCGCGTGTGTGTGTGTGTGTGTGTGTGCGTGTGTGTAAGTTTATGCATGTGTGTGTATAAATGTTGATATTTATCAATAATATGTGTGTAATAATATGTTTGATAAATGTTGATATTTATCAATACACACACATACAAAAGCATATTCATTATATATATATATATATAAATAAATAAATATATATATATATATATATATATATATATATTCATATATATATATATATATATATATATATATATATATATATATATATATATATATATATATATATATAAATTAGGTACGCGCACTGAAATTTTTAAATTAATCATATAGTGCAATGTTATATATCATTAGAAAGGCCTTTAATACAGTATTTTAAAGGTGAAAAAATTATTAAAAACGAACAATTCTAAAAAAAGTTATAACGTTTTTAGTACCAAATTTAAGATATATGGAATTGTTGAAGAAATTGTGGTCAAAATAATTATTTTTTTCACTTAAATTATTATAACTTTGTCAATTTTCATCCAAATATCTATATCTTGGTATCAAAAGATAGGTGCACTAATGGGCTACAAGTTCATATAGGTGCCTGGACGTAGGGTGTATCTTGGGAGCCAGAGGGGGTAATGAAACACCATCTAACCCTTAAGAAAATACAAGTTTTTGTCAAAAATAAGCACTTTTTTTATGTAATTGTTAGATTTTATACATAAAATATTGCCATAACTTGATTCCAGAACACTGCCAAACAAAATAAGGTGATCTTAGAGTTGGCCGTAGATGTGGTTATGATGTTATAACACCCTAATACAATAATCATACATTCTAATAAATAATTTAATCTTTATTACAGTAATTAAATATTTTGTTAAAAAGTAAAAATATATTTTTTTACTATACAACATACATTAGTGATGTGCACACTAACTTTAGGGAAGGGCGTATGTCGCATCGCCCCCCCCCCCCCGCCCCTGCCCCAACGCATAACAAAAAATAAAAATAATTAAATCTTTATTACAATAACTAAATGTTAACAAGTAAAAATAATATTTTATTACTATTCAACATATATTATTGATGTACACATTGACTTTAAATAAAGGAAGTCTAATGCACCACCTCTCCCCCCCCCTCCCCACCTAACAAAAAATAACGTCATCTTTATTTCAATAATCAAATGTATTGTTAAAAAGAAAAAATAATCTTTTATAACTATACAACATACATTAGTATTGAAAATATTGTTGTATTACATGAAGCAATATTTTTTTTCTATAGAACATACATTAGTGATGTACAATTTGAGGAGAGGGATGGTTTTCCCCCTTCCCCTCAACCAACGTAAAAAAGAAAACACATAGAAATGATATTTTCAACATTTTCGCATGCAATTATTAAAAAAAGAAAGCACAATACAGAATTGTTTTACCAGATTGCACGAGTATACATTTTCTCATTTAAATAATCATATTTAACCAACCAACCTTATAAAAAACAAACAAACAAAAAAACAAATGTTTCGAAACATAGTAATTAATTTATGTCTTGGCTTTTAGTAAATGATTTAAATTAAGTTCCAATGCAACTAAATAAATCATTTTTAACAATAGACACCACGTGAAGGTAAGCCAGAGCCGCCTATCTTTTTTTTTTGCAAGCCACAAAACTTGCTATACCTATTTGCAAGCCACAAAACTTGCGGTACTTATTTGCAAGCCACAAAACTTGCGGTACACATTTGCAAGCCACAAAACTTGCTGTACCTATTTGCAAGCCACAAAACTTGCTGTATCTATTTGCAAGCCACAAAACTTGCGGTACTTATTTGCAAGCCATAAAACTTGCGGTACTTATTTGCAAGCCACAAAACTTGCTGTACCTATTTGCAAGCCACAAAACTTGCTGTACCTATTTACAAGCCATAAAACTTGCGGTACACATTTGCAAGCCACAAAACTTGCATCTATTTGCAAGCTACAAAACTTGCTGTACCTATTTGCAAGCCACAAAACTTGACTTAATTATTATACTAACTATTTTAAAATAAAATTACAAAGTTGTAACAAAAAATCAATATAGCAAATAACAAGAAATGTATATACATATTAAATGTAATAGTTTATTAAATTACTAGTTGCAAAAGATGACTAAGGAACTAAAGTTAAACATATTATAAAGTTTGCACATTAAAAACTAATAGTTGTTTAACTTACCAGGTGTAGCACAAGAGGTAGATACTAAAATTACAAAGTTGTAACAAAAAATCAATATTACAAATAACGAGAAATGCATACACATATTAAATTTATTATTTTTTTAAATTACTAGTTGCAGCAGCTGACTAAGGAACTAAAGTTAAACATATTGTAAAGTTTGCAAATTAAAAATTAAGAGTTATGTAACTTACCAGGTGTAGTACAAGAGGTAGATACTAAAATTAAAAAATTAATATTGCAGCAAATGGGAAATCCATACACGACAAAAATGCAAAGAAATGCATATTTATGTATATTTCTTTAATGGTTAATTGAAGTTATGCTATAATAACTTACCAGCTGTAGTCTGTGCAAATTGGCCTAAAGATAACAAAAAAGTTATATAATCAAAAAAAAAAAAATATCTTGAAATTGTCAACAGTCAATAAAAATAACAGTTATCAAACCAGTTCTGCTTTACGTACAACAACCTATGTAACTAAAAAAAAAGCAATAAAAAAAATAATAAAAAACATAAATTATATTACTGTATTTTAAAATTATATTACTGTATATTAGAAAAACACTAACAAGATACTTTTATAAGAATAAACATATTATTGTAAAAGTATCTTTGTAATTTTACAAAAATAAGCTTATTAATAATAAGCTTATTCATATAAAAATATCAATAATAATAATATTTTAAAATATCAATAATAATATTATTCTTAAAATATCAATAAAATCATAATATTATTCTAAAAAAATAATAATGTTATTCTAAAATTATCATTAATAATATTATTCTAAAAATATTTTGTCAAAAACTGTATTGGCTTAAGCCAATAAAGTTTTACTTTAAAGTATAATAATGTCATTTGTATATTTTTATATATATGGTGTATTTACAACATTGGCATCTGATACTATTAGTTAATAAAATATTCCAAAGTAACGGTTTAATCTTAAATCCTAATCTTTTTTAATATATACTATCATTGGTATAACTTATACCAAAGATTAAGGTTTTTAAACTTATACTATAAGTTTAAAAACCTTAATCTTTGTTTACATATCATGATGATATGTAAACAAAGATTAATGTTTTAAAACTTATAACTTTTTTAAATAACAAAACAATAATGATAAGTTTAAAAACCTTAATCTTTGTTTACATCATGATGATGTAAACAAACTTTGTTATTATCATGAAAATTAAATTAACTTACTTTTTGAAGTCTTCTTTGTTATGACTTTTACCATTTTTTATTTATTAAAATAATATAATATTAAAAATTAAATAATACAATGTAGTAAGAATTTTTTTGTTTACCATTCGCCACCCCCCTATCCTCCCCGTATTTCTCTTACCGATAAAACAAAAACAAAAACAAAAAAAACCGAATTTAGGTACCAAAAGTCCTACACTTCTTATACTATCTGCTCCCTAATATTTTTGGCTGAAATTTGGCATGTACAAAGAAAATGCATGCAAAAAAGTTCCTGAATAACAAAAAAAGCGGAAACTTCATTCCTTCGATAAGAACTTAATGTGAGAACATCAACGAAATTTTCATGAAAGTTTTTAGCAAAACTAACCATAAAAAAGTTTAGTGGTTATAAATAAAAGTACTATAAAAATCAAGCCTAACCTTTCTTCTTTCCAAATATACTTTTTGTTTATATATGTTTCTAAAAAAAAACACCACTAAAAACGTTAGTCTAACCCTACTTCAAAAAAGCAGTATATTTAAAAAAGCACCTCGTTACATATCTGCTCCCTAATATTTTTCGTTGAAATTTGGCACATAAATAGAAAATACATGTATAAAGGTGGCTGAACAATCAAAAAAGCGGAAACTTCATGCCTTCGACTACAAATTTATGTGAAAACATCAACCAAATATTCAGGAGCAAAATAATCCGTTAAAAAATTTAGTAACCATACATAAAAGTTTAAAAAAAATAAAGATCAGCTTCTCTTCTTTCCAAAAAGTATCTATGTGTATATATGTTTCTAAAAAGAAACTCCACAAAACTACGTCTACCCCACGCTGCCTAAAAAAAAGTGAAAAAAACGAGTCACAAGATTTTATCACAAAAATCGGTTCAGTAAATGACGTAAATGCGCGTACCTATATAAATATATATATATATATATATATATATATATATATAATGAATATGTATGCATCATATAAACATTATAATATAATGTATAAATCATGTATATATAAATAATTATACATCAAATTAAATGAAACAACACAGTAACAAGGTGTCAACATACGTAATAATCTTTAATCTTAATAATTATTTATACAACCCATGATGGAAAAAACATAAAATGGAATGAAACAACACAGGAACAACAAAATATATACAATTTATTTATCCATTTACCTATTTCTACAGCCAAGATATTACAAATCTTTGCATATATATATATATATATATATATATATATATATATATATATATATATATATATATATATATATATATATATATATATATATATATATATATATATTAATTTATATATAACACAGACACACAAAATACCAATACTATTCTATAAAACACAAAGTGAAAAGTCTTGGTGCAATTTTGATGTCTTTTGTTAAAATTCCCTCATTATACTTGTAACTTAGTTACTCTTTAGATCATAGAGTATAGAATATAGAAAATTAAAAAATATCTTTAAACGATAAATAACTAAACAAAATAATAGTCTTAAAATAATCAACCAAAACAAGTAGACATATTTAAATAACCGAGTTTGCGCATAATATTGTATGCGCCAAGTTGATAGTATTAATTTTTTTACTTATTTTCAAGGTAATTAGGACGTCTTATGTAGGTCTTAGCGACGTCAATAGGACGTCTAAATATTGAAGTCCTGATATCGTCTTTATATTAACGTCACAAGGACGTCCTAACACAGACGTCTTTACCAGACGTCTTTAGGATGTCCTAATTTGGTCTGAGACGTCGCGACCTAGTTAAGACGTCCGTAAGACGTTTGATTCACGTCTGTGCCCGCTGGGTATATATAATATAAATTAGGTTGTTGCCACTGCTATTTATTTAAAAATTATTGCCGAAAAAAAAAGATTGCCAAGCCAGTGCCGTATTTATGTAACTACGCATATGGTTGTAAAATGGAATTAAGTTAAACTCTGTAGTATCCATATTATTTTTAAGTTTCCCGATTACCCCATCCGTATTTCGAGGCTTTTCTCCCTGTTTGTAACTTTCCTTTAAAGAAGAAAAAGTTCATCTATTAAATTAGGCTGTGGCCTGTATGCTGGCAGATACTTATTAGTTTCTTATTATTAATTTTGTTTTCATATTTTGTTTTAACCTTAAGGTGGTCATCTCGTAAAAAATAAAAAATACAATTTGTTGGAAAGTTTATTTTATTTTTCAACATAAAGAAGTTATATTTGTTTATAAAAAAAAAAAATTATTTACGTTTTTTAAGGTTGAATCGGCAAAAAAAATGCTATAAACATCACTTTCTTAAAATAAAGAGTGCTTATCGGTACATTCGTTTTGTATGATGTTTGGTTTGCATGCAGGGTATACATAAAATTAGTATGTGAACCAGTAAAAACTTATAATTATGTTACATATTTTTGGAAATTAAAAAAGGGTTAAAATTCAACAAAAACCATCCCATAATTCCGAAAATACTCTAAGAATTAAATAGATTCTGGTTCACATACTAACTTATATACAGATGAACCCTAAAAATTTTATTCAAAAGTAATTTATTGAAGCCGAGATCCGCTTGTTTTAAATCTGAAATATCACAAACAGAGAAAACTAAGAAAATAAAAATAAAAAAATTAAAATAATCCTTTAGAATGATCTCCTTTTTTTTCTTTCCTCTGTTTTTCTTTATCAATAAATCCTTTTAAGTTTTAAGTTTCTTCATTCTTAAGAAAGTTTATATTATCAAGTTCGGTAAATAATTTTGTCTCAAAACAACCAAAAAACATTGTTGCTAAGGACGTTGCTAAGAAAACAAATTAATACATATCATTATAGGAAGTAAATTTTGGAAAAATATAATTAAAAAACATGTGTAAATGTAGGGGAGAGTTGCCGAAATTGGAACAGCGCACAGTGGGCAAGAAATCACTTTTACTGGACAAAATTCATAACTAATTTAATATTGGAGCTATATTCACTAAAATTAGCGTGAGTACTAGTATGATGTTTGCGGTTTTTAAGAAGGTATATAAGGCAACAACCTATTTTTGTTATCTACAGATATTTTATGAGTGCTATATTCCCTATTTTTAGCATGAGTACCACATTTATTATAAAAGTGATATTTTTTTTAATTTAATTGCTATGGATACTTATTTTGCTTAGTTACCAGATACTTTCCTTAGTTACAAAGATGTAAGTTGATATTTGAATATTCTATTGGATTTTTGACCCACTGATAATAAATAACAATTGATTTTTTAGGTCAATAATATTTTTGCAAAAAAATAAAAAATAAAAAAAATAGTGCGAGAAAGTATTGTCAATTTTAAATTATATCAAAAAATTATAAAACAATAACATCGTTTAAAGATTGTTTAAGTAATTGTAAAACATCTAAAGGAAATGCTTTATAATTTGTTCGGTGGTATGTTGATTTACGCAGTGATAAAATAACAGGATCATTGGAAACTAGGAGTCTATTGATAAGATCAGTATTTGTTGCTTTTCTGGATGTTTTTTGGCTCAAATTATCGAGATAAGATTTGAAGTCTTTATTTCTAGCCTCTTGAGCTTCCTCAGACATAAGTCCGATGGGTAATGTAAGGTTTTTAATTATATCATATCAATGTATCAGTATTTTGTGAACTGATTGAGCCATGTAATACCATGGATAAAGGGACACATATAGTCTAACAGTGTCAAAACAATAAACTTTGAATTTTAAGCTGTCTGCTTCATATCCTGAAGAGAGTGTAATATAATGTAAAATCTGAATATAAGGTTTTGATCAATACCCAGAATTTCAGCTGTTTGTTCATATGCTGCAAAAGCACTCCTTGAGGTATTGCCATCATTGCTTGTTCCAGAACCACCACCTTTAGGGAAATCAACAACAATTCATGAAGAATGGAAAGACCATATTTGAATTCTCTGTTAGTATAATCTATATTAAGGATATCAAGACTATTCATATTTTTGAAGAATTGGTATGAGTTAGTTTTTTCTGATAATATCGTTTGAGCTTTCCCATCAACCATTGTAAGTTCAATAATACAATTCACTTCAATAGAAGAACCGCAAACCTCTAATAAAATCATACCCAAGCTTTCTATCTCACTTTTAATGTACTGATCTTCTTCGATCACAGATTCCTTGGATTCCGTTTTGTAAATAAATCTTATGGGTCTATAATAGGCTGTGGATGACGAATTTTGATTTCTCCAAATAGGCACCTTTTCGTTACTGTTGTTAAACCCAGTCAAATCCAATGGGGCAAGACAAGTTATAAATGATGACTCTTCACATTTTAAATCTCTATTCATGTCAGGTTCTGATAAAACTTGTTTATAAATGCCTTGGCCAGTAGCACCATCAAAACCAGCCATACACATAAGTGTCATTATTTTTATTGCTTTGTCGTTCATTATTAAGTGCCTCAACACAGGTTCCTGAACTGCACAGATACTTTGCAAAGTATGAACCATTAAATATTTTAAAGGAATTAAAGCTGAAGCCCAGCAACCACAATCAACGTTGAAACAACGTTGAAAAACCGTTGAAATTTATGGTTGAAAAATGGTTGATTTTTGGTTGAAATGGAAACGCAAATCAACGTTGAAAAAAAACGTTAGATCAACGTTAAAAACAAACTAAAAACCAATGTTAGGTTAACGTTGATCTATCATTGATTCAACTAACTTATATACGAGTTTATAAACCTCAAAAATACAGTTTTTTGCGCCGTGACTCTTTTAATCCAAAAAAACATTTATTTTTTGTACAATATTGTGTTGTTATGAGTAAGAAAAGAAACAGTGTTCTTCATAAACTTATAATAGCTGTACAATAACTTATTCTATTGTACTAAGCATCTTGTTCTCAATTTTTACAGCTTTATCTTATTATTATTAGTTTTATTTATATTATAATACTAACTGTTGTTATAGTATTACAAATACTCTACCCTGTACCATTTTTTTAACGCAGGTAACTAAATTATAGAAATTAAAAGACAATTATTGAAAGCAAATAAAACCTAAAAAATAATTTTTACATTTTTAAAACAATAACTTATACAAAAATTAAAGTTATTTTTAAAATGATCTTGATAAAATCATGATATCGTTATCTTCATCACCAATATCAAATTCATATGTATTTTTATCGCCTTCTGTTATCAGACTCATTTTGATTTGATGCATTTTCCACGATCCAATCAATATGGTGCAACCTTCGAACGGTCTAAATTCTATCTTTGTGCATTGTATATTATAAATGTATCTTTATTTAACAAACACTTAATCTCTCATCTCTAATCTCATAACCAACTTTCTGATCATCAATATGGATTTCGATCTTCTCGTTCTACGGCTGATTTGCTATCAGTAATAACCGATAGGTTTTATCGCGCATTAGATAAAGGTGGAGAAGTTAAGGCCATCGCTCTTGACATTTCTAAAGCGTTTGATAAAGTTTGGCATGCTGGCCTTCTCCATAAGCTTTCTTCTTATGATGTATCTGGAAACATCTTTAAGATTATTGAATCCTTCCTTTCCAATCGTAGTATAAAAGTTGTCCTTGATGGACAGCACTCTTCTTCTTATTCTGTAACCTCAGGGGTTCCCCAAGGTTTAATCCTTGGCCCTATACTCTTTTTAATTTATATTAACGATCTTCCAGATATTCTCACATCTAAGGTGGCATTGTTCGCTGATGATGCTACCACTTACTCTTGTCACGATAAGAAGCCAACTCCCGCTGATTGCTTGCAGGGGGCATCTGAGCTTGAAAAGGATCTCACTTCTGCTACAGCATGGGGCTCACAGTGGCTGGTGAACTTTAATTCAGATAAAACTCAATTTTTCAGCCAATTGTTATCGCAATAATTTAGACCTTCCTATTTTTATGAACGGTAATGTACTCGATGAGTCATCTACCCTTCATCTTCTAGGATTAACTCTTACTTCCGATCTTTCTTGGAAACGTTATACCAAATCTGTTTCAAAATTATTATCTGCTAAAGTTGCATCTCTTTATTGAGCTCAACACTTTCTTACTCTGGATTCTATTCTCTATCTCTATAAATCTCAAATCCGGCCTTGTATGGAATACTGTTGACATATCTGGGGCGGATCTTCTAATGATGCCCTTTCTCTTTTAGACAAGGTGCAAAAACGCATTGTAAACATAGTTGGACCTGCTCTTGCAGCCAACCTTCAACCTCTGTCACACCGTCGTAATGTTGCTTCTTTTTCTCTTTTCTACAAATACTATAATGGGCACTGCTCTAAAGAGCTAGCGTTTCTTGTGCCATCTACTAAAATTCATTCTTGTGTTACTCGTCATTCAATTAATACTGTTCCTAAGTGCTTCAAAAACTCTTATTCGTCTAGTTTTTTTCCTCGAACATCCCCAGCGGGCACAGACGTCAATCAGACGTCTTACGGACTCTTAACTAGGTCGCAACGTCTCAGACCAAATTAGGACGTCTTAAAGATGTCCAGTAAAGACGTCTTTGTCAGGACGTCCTAGTGACGTAAACATAAAGACGTTATCAGGACTTCCATATTAAGACGTCCAATTGACGTCCCTAAGACCTTTTTTAGACGTCCTAATTACCTTGGAAATAAGTTGTCTCAAAGACGTTTAATGGACGTCTTCAATAAAAATTTTAATTAAAAGAAGAAAAATTTATATATAACTTAGCGCATAAAATATTATGCGCTAACTCGGTTAATTAAAAATGTCTGCATTGTTTGGTTGATTAATTTGATATTATTAATTTTGTTTAGTTATTTATCCTTTAAAGATATTTTTTCAATTCTCTATATTCTATACTCTATGATCTATAAACTATAATCTATACAATTTTTGAATAAATGAAAAATTGAGTTTAGTTATTAAGTTTAAATAAGTTACCAGAATAGTGAGGGAATTTCAACAAAAGATATCAAAATTGCAACAGCGGGCACAGACGTCTGATTGACGTCTGTGCCCGCTGGGGATGTTTCAGTTGATATTTTATAGAATAGCAATGATACTTTGTGTGTTTATGTTATATATATATATAACATAAACACACATATATTTAGTATTGTATTTTCTCACTCAGATTTTCAAAACTTGTAAAGAACAATAAGTTATGGTTCTTTGTTATGGCATCTTTGTTATGGCATAACAAAGATATATATATATATATATATATATATATATATATATATATATATATATATATATATATATATATATATATATATATATATATATATGTATACAATTTATTTATTTTCTTCTCGAGAAGAAAATAACTCAAAACTACTCAAAACTAGGTCAACTGACTTCTTTACTATGATATTTTATCTCACAACAAATAATTATATAATTGCTACTATAGAAGGATTACAAAAATCTTACTCTGCAAAGATTTGTAATATCTATGCTGAAGATCTCCAGCATAGATATTACAAATCTTTGCAGAGTAAGATTTTTGTAATCCTTCTATAGTAGCAATTATATAATTATTTGTTGTGAGATAAAATATCATAGTAAAGAAGTCAGTTGACCTAGTTTTGAGTATCCTTTTCTAGATATCCTTGTAATGTGGTCTTTCCATTTCAGGTTATTACTTATATTGATGCCTAGGTCTCCTTCCTGTGTTGTTTTATTTAATTTGATGATTTTTCCCATCACAGGTTGTATATATATTTATTCAGATTATTACTTATGTTGATACCTAGGTCTTGTTACTGTGTTGTTTCATTTAATTTGATGATTGTTTTATTGTGGGTTTTATATATAATTATTTATATATAAATAATTTAAGTGTGTGCATATTGATCAGTGTTATATACTGTTGGAAATACAGCTCTAAAAGGGAAAAAAATTTTAGTTATACTATATCGCTTTGATTCAGTCAAGTATTCCATATTTGATGTCAGATGTCGTTACAAGGCTAAACTTGTATTTTTTATAATGGTTTTTTATATATGTATGTATATATGTATTTTTATATATATGTACTCATATATATATAAATTATGTTAGTTTATTCTACAAATAGAGTGATGTCTGCAATGTTCTTAAAGAACAGAGCAATCAGGGCAGTGGAGTCATGCAGTTGGAGTTGCGACATTATTAGTGGAGTCAGAGTCACTAAAAAAACCGTGACTCCGGCTCCAATAGTAAAACTTCTCGGTATTGCATGTTCATGTACAAAATATTTAACCTTTAAAGAGCTTTTCATATATTTGACAAAAAATTTTTTTTTCAATTATCGTGTAATATTTTTTAAAGAATTCAAAGAAATGTTTGTTCAATTTTTATTCAAAATCCAAAAAAATTTTGCTTTGGCGTCGGAGTCGTTCTCTAAAAATTTCAGTGAATAAAAGTTGGTACTTTTTTTTCCCAACCCCACATGCCTGAGAGCAATAATAAATTTGTAATAAAACTTATCTAATTCTCTTCGACAGTTTGATTCTCCATCAGTAGATTCATCAGGAAGCTTCCTGATGAACCTACTGATGGAGAAACAAGGTGACAAAGAGAATTAGATAAATGTTTTTACTAGTTTAAAACGTTATAATTTTCTTGAACTTTACTTGTTTATATCTTTTTTTTAAAGTTAAATATGAAACTTGAGATTTTTTGCATTATTCAGTTTAAATATACCTTTTCCAACCATTTATTGAAAGTACTATTTACTACTTTATATACTATTTATATGGCTTCACTTATTTATTTTACTTTTCAGAGTTTCAGAGAAAAGTTATGTTCCAACTTGCTGAAATTAAAAACATTTTAGTAAATAAAACTGCACAGTTCTCTAATGATCCAGAAAGTTATAAACAACTTAAAAGTTCAGATGAACTTAATGTTCTGAAAAGAAAAATTGCAAATGGAGATATCCAATACATCACTTTTGTATGCATGAATTTCATCTTTATAGTTTATATATTATATTATTACAATATTTCTTTTGAATTGTCATGAACATTTTCAATGTTTCTTTCACATTGTTTCTTTTTAGGTAAAACAGTTATCATTAATTGGAGGTAAAAATTCAGTTGATACAATTAAAAATATTTTGCTTTTGTAAGTAATTAGCATAAGTTTGAATTTTAACATTTATGTTTGACAGCATGACATTTATCATCTTTTTTATATGTAGACTGACAACAGACACTATTTTCAGAATGCAGCATGAATGGTCTAAAGAAGAAAAAAAAGTTGAAAAAGTTGACAAGTCTATATATCGCTATCACTGGTATTTTTATTAGTTTATTATTGTGTTTAATTTACTTTTAAAATTAAAAACGATCTTTTAATTAAAAAAAAAATTTTCTCAATTTTTTTGGCTATGCAACATGACATGTATTTTATTTTATGATCTTATTGAACTATGTCTTGTTGTTTTTATTAGATGCTGCCTCAAAGTCAAATAAAAGTTTAACCAAAATGGATCTCATGCAACTTATTGGAAGATTAATTAGGCATTCTTCTGACTGATTCAAGAGAAAATCCACCATTATCGATATCGATCAACGATGACTTAATTAACTTCAATCAACTGTTGTGTTTTTTATTTATTTTGCATTTTACAGTAATTTTCTTTTTACTTATAATATGCTATTGATTATACTTTACAAAATATATTAGCTTTTAATTTGGAAAGTGTAACTTTGTTTGAATAATTTTCCCAAGTTTTTGTAAAATTAATAATTTATTTTAAATATATGAAATTACACTTTATGAATTTTGATTTATCTTTATACCTTCACTTGCCATCTAAGGTGAGTATATCATTGCATTTTTATATAACTTTTAAAAGAATGTTTAGGTAAATTTACGTCTCGAGGACGTCTGAATAAGACGTCTTCAAGTCTTTCACATGAGACCTGCCAGAGACGTCCATAGGACGTCAGTAATAGACGTCCTCAGGTCTTTCATTTGAGACCAACTAAGGACGTCAAACGGACGAGACTTGAGACGTCTTATAAACGTCCTTAGGACGTCAAAATGCCCGCTAGGTCAGTTCTTTGGAATTTGTTTCCTTCATCTTGCTTTACTGATTCATACAATTTGCAATCTTTTAAGTCGTCTGTCAATCGTTATCTTGCTTGACAATCTTCATCTTTTCTCTTCCAGTAACTTCCAACACTAATTAGTGGTTGCTTGCAGCCACTAATTAGTGTTGGAAGTTACTGGAAGAGAAAAGATGAAGATTGTCAAGCAAGAATGAACTGGATATATATATAATATATATATATATATATATATATATATATATATATATATATATATATATATATATATATATACATATATATATATATATATATATATATATATATATATATATATATATATATATATATATATATATTATATATATATATATATATATATATATATATATATATATATATATATATATATATATATATATATATATATATATATATATATATATATATATAAGATTGTCAAGCAAGAATGAACTGGATATATATATAATATATATATATATATATATATATATATATATATATATATCTATATATATATATATATATATATATATATATATATATATATATATATATATATATATATATATATATATATATATATATATATATATATATATATATATATATATATATATATATATATATATATATATATATATATATATATATGTATATATATATATATATATATATATATATATATATATATATATATATATATATAAAACTGTGATTAAAGTTAAACAAATTTATGAGAAAAAAGTAACAAATAAACGACAATAAAACTATTAGAAAACAAAGTTAGTTGTAATGCTATGTGTTTTTGTTTAGCCTAAAATGGTTTTAGTTAAGTTGTGGTCTTCATGATTGCTAAAAATTTGTATTTATTGTAGTACAATTATCTGAGGTATCCATAAAAAAAAAATTAAAATAATTTTAAAAAATTTACAAATTAAACTTTTTTTTTCCCCAAAAGTATTTAAAGATTTTGGTCACAGGAGCCCAGCAGAATACAAGGGATTCAGAGATTTAATATTTGAGCTGAAGGAGCCATAAAAGTTATGCAAGAAACTCATGCTCTCAAAAGTATTTAATGTAAAATAATGTTATATTATAACGTAATAAGTATAAATTTAATAAAGTTTGTTCTTTTATTTAATGTTATTTAAAATCAAATGGTGTTAGAAGTTAATTTTTATTTTTTTTTTTATTTTTATTAATTAGAGAATACAATAACGAGTATTTTGTTTAATTTAACAGCTATATCTAACAAACATGCGTTTTGTATGTATAAATTTTAAAATAGGGATTGTAAATATTCTCAAATGAAAAAATAAAATAAGCTAAAAATAAAAATGCTTTATTTTGTTCTTAAAAAATAAGGTTTTACGAAAACTTTTTTAATATCCAATATAAAGTGATGTGTTACATCAAGATTTTTATTTTACTGATTTTGCAATTTGGCTTTGTTAAAGCTCCTGTTATTGAAGTTGTGCGTTCGTTTAAAAGACTTTTTTTTGTTGAGGTTTTTGCCTCGTCTGAGCGCTATGGGAATTGTCATTTGTCCATCTGTTGACGTTGACAACTTTACCGACAATTTTAAACGAAAACATTTTGATCTGGCTCAAATCCGTTGTGCATCATTCATTTCTTTCTAAGTGTCAATAGTAATTTCGTGATTAGCACAAGCTGGTTTTAGATCAAAATTGCCAAGACCATACAAAGAATGATCTGCTTTGACTAACAACTTGAGCTTTTCAACTAAATCTGGTAACTGCTGAATACTCCAATGCGTTTAAGTTTTAAGCAAATGGTTCATAATTTTGCTGTTATTGTTTGTCCAATTAGGAAGATCAATAGAAACATTGCTGCGAAGATTTACCACTACGTGAGTATTAAAATACGATAAAAATTATAAAACAATGAGCACTTAAAAAAAATGGAAATAATTCTAAGTATTAGTAATAAAGCAAGTAAACGATTTAACTTCAAGACATGTTCTGAGAACGTTTTCACGCAACATCCTTTTCAAATTTATTGGTGCTGCGGCAAGACGTTACCCCTTTATCATTATATATACCTGCAGCAAAATATTTTCTTATTGCATTATGTGTAACGGTGATACAAATAAGTTTTTTTCAAAATTATTAGATTGTATCATATTGAATACAAATTGATATTCATCAGCGAAAGTGTGTATTGACTGACACCCTAATTTTTTTTTTTTTTTTTTTTTATATAAGACAAATTTTGATGACAAATCAGATAGACCAGCGTTCGGTTTGTGTATTTTCATGCTTTTGTTCGTGTTGTAGTAGAATATATTGTTCACCAATATATTCTACTACAGCTAAAGTACTATCTGTTAGATTGCTTTTGTTTAAATATGTCACTTGTCCTTTGTAATTGTCGCGTGCAATAAGTCTGTACTATAGTAATAATGTTCTTCGGTCCAGGTTACGGATTGAAAGGAACGTAGTGTCATTTTCCTTGAGATAATACTTCTTTATAAAACTTTCCAAATTTCAAAAACAATCGTCACCCTACACAGCTAACGGAAATCACGTACAAGCACTTATTTGTTTTATATTGTTAAGAGTTTCAGAAATGCAATGGTAGGTTGTCACTACAGCCTACCATTGCATTTCTAGTAATTAGGCAATAGACATTTTCGTTTTTTCTATGTGGCATGTAATCAATCGCGATAAATTTGTCTGATTGCTCATGTAGTAGGTCTAAAAATTTTTTTGTAAAGGACAAAGAACAGTGGTTGCTTTGACAGATTGCGATGTTAGTTTGTCTGGTGTTATTAAAGTTTTTAAAGATTGACTGATGTTTTGTTCTTCTGCCTTAGAATCAGATTTAGTATGTAACTCAAACCCAAAATCAGAAACTATTTAAAATGACGTATTTTCAATTTGGTAAGAAATTCTGTAAACAAATAAGTTACAACTTTAAATTTTAAGAAACCATATATTAAAAAAAAGACACTAGTTTATCAAAAAGTTACACTCTCAAAACATTTATCAAATGAAGATTAAAAAAATAAAAATTAAATGTTAATATTTAGAAATTATAAAACAATTAATGCAAAAAAAGTACAAACCGCTCTTTAACAGTATTTGATAGCGTAGTTGGAGCTAGATAATAAAGTGGTTTGAAAGTTGAATGTTTTTGAAGTTTTTTGAAGTAAATTAAATTATGTAAATTACATTTGTTTAAAATATATATAAAAATGTATAATAAAAAATTCAAATAAAGTTAAAGTATCAGACGGCCACAGATTTGATTTTAAAATTATGTCACTTTTAATCTCCCTTTATTAATTAGTTTATTAAACATTTAGCACAGCGTATTTTAGTGTTTACTGACCCCAACCCTGATCTATGTAGTCTATAGCAATGTTATTGACATTAAAATTCTTAAATTTACTTAAACGTCTAAAGTTACTTTCACGTAATTTCTATACATTAGAAGATCTAAAAAAACGTTTCATAAAACCCAGGCCTGTTATGCATATGCAACAAAATTTAACCATACTTATTTGTTAGACGTATCTTACCTATTTAAGCTGGTAATAAATTTGAACTTTTCCTGAATTTTCAAAATTTAACATCTGATATTTTTGGAGAATCCATAATCCACATCCTTTCTCACACTTTATGGCCAAGTTTTATTACAAACGGCATACGGAAATTTAATGCATTTTTCTGGCATTTGGACTATTGAATAAAATAGTATAAAAAACACAACTTTATATCAAACTAATTTATTTTATTTATCTGTAATAAATTTTTTTTTTTTTATTTCTGATGAATAATATAGTTTTTTTTTTTTTATATAGATTCAAATTTGGTTTCGTTTCGCATTACATTGATGGTTAACAACCGCTTTTTCAAAAGGTAGAGACTTGATTAAATTTTACCATTATAAACTATAAAATAAAGAAAAAAAAAAAGTTTTAATCTTATTATCTTGATATAACAGTTTGATTTATTTTTTAAATAATGCCAATACTCTCGTATTTAAGATAAAGTTTGAAAAACTGTGCTGCTTCGGTTTAAACTATCATTAAATACTATTAGATTTGTAAGTACACTGTTAAAAATTTCCGTTAAAAAAACAGAGATGTATTCCGTTGTTTCAATGAAAAGTATCCTTATGTCCATGTATGGATGTAAAATATACAAATACAGAAAATTTCCGTACATAATGGATGGATCCATTATGTACGGAAATTTTCTGTATTTCTAGCTAAATTTTCAAATATGGAAATTTCCGTTGTATTTTATAGGTTGAGGATTTTTAATGACATTCAAAAGTAGGTTGCCGATTTTTGTAAAAATCCAGACCAAAAAAAAATTGCGCATGCGTTTTTATGGGTCAGGGCAATAACATCCGTTTTTGCCATGTATAATAACGGGAAAAGATTACTGCATCTGTCCAACAACATCCGTGGAGTAGTGAAATAACATCCGCACATTTTTGTGTAAGATCATCCGCTTTTTTTCTTTACTGAATTAACATCCCTGCAATAACATCCGAAATTTCATTGATGTATAATAACATCTTTAGAAAGATGTAACATTCGAGAGTTTTTCTCGATGTAACTGCATCTGTCTA